GGGGGTGCTGTTCACCACACAGACATAATCGAATTGTATATTTATTATGACACATCTGCGGCAGATGGCAGTAAAGGACATTATTCTAATAAAAATTGTGCATCGTGATAATTTTCCAATAGATGACAGTTAAGTGTCTTTCCTAACCCAGCACTAAGGTACTGTAGGGACCAACTGCAGCTCTGGGCACAGGTCTGAAAAATCTGGTGGCTTTGGTTTTCCCTGCAAGGCAGGTGAGTTTACCTGCTGAGCATGAGGGGATCAGGGGTTGGAGGAGAGAGAAGCACGTATGTAGTGGTCACTATGGAGACCTGGAGGGAGGGCTGAGTGGGGAAACACGGGGTAGGGGGGATTGTTTTGGTGGCTCCAATCTGTTAGGGGCATGATTTCCTCACAGGTGTGGAGGTGGCATGAGCCTTGAAGGAGACACACACATATGTGAGAGCATGTGCCACTGTATGTAGAGATTAGGTGTATGTTTGTGCATGTGAGAATATCAGTGTGCATGTGTTTTTATATGTTTTCAGAGAGAGAGGTCTAAGGGTACAGAACCTTATATATGTCCATAAGTAGGTATATATGTGCACACATGTCTGGGTAGGTGTCAGATGTTGCTACCAGTACTTTCTTGAGGATCCTGGTTTGGGCTTAAGCTCCTAAACTGAGAATAATTGGAGCCCCATATCCCTACATTTAAAGCCAGAAATGCTGGATGATTCATACAGGATGTGCTGAAGGGGCCGTGATTGAATTTTTGGCCTCAATTCTCAACCTTTCCCTGTGTTCATGCCCTTTGCAATGTAACTGCAGTTTCTCCCACAAAAGGTTGAGTGTATTTCCCTGGACCTTGGCTTTGGGCTCATGTGACTTGCTTTGACCAACCAGATGTCCACAGGTGTGACACAGAGACTTGAAATGAGCTTGTACCGTGGGATTTGCCCTCTTATACTTCTGCCACCACCATGAGAAGTACACGCCTTGGCTAGGGCACTGATTCCAGGAGTGCGCTTTGGTTCCAGGAAGAGAATATAGGACATGCAGAGCAGAACCAGCCGACCAAAAAACTCATGAATGAGAACAAATGCGCATTATTGTGCGCCTCTGAAATTAGATTTGCTTGTCTGTTACACGGCATTATCGTGATAATAGTTGATAGATACAGAAACTGGTACCAAGAGTGGGGTGTATAAGCAACAAAAACAAAAATATGTAGCACTGGCTCTGGGACCAAGTGGTGAGCAGTGAGCAAACTGCTGGAGGAGGCTTGAAAAAAGGTTACCCATACTCTGCAGAGACAAAATGCTTGGTAAAACTGTCAATCTACAGTAACTTGAAGAGAACCAATGGATTTGGGCAAGAGAGTTTCCAGGTAAAATGTTGAAAGCAAGAGCTGGCTCCTTTGGGCTGAATTTGATAAGGACTTAGAAGAAAGAGGAATTCATAAAAGAAATAGGGAGTGTCACAGGGAGTGTTTAGAGGGAATACAGAGAGCCCAGAACTTGCTGAGTTGGGCAAGAGATCAGTCAACTCCAGCTTCTCCAGCCAGTAAATCAGTTTCAAATTAATATACAGCCTGGGGACAAAGATCAGACCAAGGTCATGGCCTTAAGATACAGCACGTGGGTCAGATCAAATCGAGGATGTGGTTATAACATCTTTTATTAATACTCTAAAATAATAAGGTACCGTTCAGTAGATGCTCTCAGCTACTCAAAAGAGCTTCTAGAAAGCTTAAGGGCATGGCCCCACAGAAGCCTGATGCACTCAAAGTCATCATAATTGAGTTGAGAGAGACTGACATGACTCAAAAATAATTGTGGGTGTGCTTTTTGGTACATGGGGTTAAGTGGAATCAAATACATAGAAAACCCATAAAGTGTTTGAGGGAGGTGTGTGGCCAAAACTATGATCAGCTTAGGCTCAAGGGACCGAGAGCACTCAAGATGTAAAAAGACAACTGGGTCCCTAACTTTCTTCAGGCAGGAAACAGACAAAGAAGGCTCTTTGGCTGCCCAAAGGCCTATTCTCCAATGCTTTCTTTAGACATGGCCAACAAGCCTAATGGAAAAGGAAGGGCTTTCAGAGAGCAGAGCCAAGAGCTACGGAAAACCATGGCTTAGGGAATCAACCCCAGAGCATAGAGCTTGGGCCTAGTCAAGAGACATTCCCTTTCCCAGAGTATTTGCCCGACATCTGCCCAGAAGGACTTCAGAATGGCCATGGATCAGTAAGTCTCTGAACCCCTTCTCCCTCTTTCTGAACAGGAGTGTGGACTGCAGTCATCCTGTCGCTATTTTACCAAGGTATGCTGGGTGTGTGTGCGGGGGGTTGGGAGGTAGATACCTTTTTTTTTTAAATTTTAGATTTTAGGTTGCTTGATCAAGAGGAGCCACATCCATATCTGACACAGATCATGAGATGTTTTTTCCTTTTTAAAAAATGTATGTATGTATGTATGTATGCATGTATGCATGTATTTAGGTATTCATTTATTACTCAAGGAGAGTTGATTTACAATATTATATTAGTTTCAGGTGTACCATGAGATCCTGATGTTATGATTGGATGAGTCTTTTCAGGATCTTTGGGATAAGGGTATTTTCTGTGAGAGGGACACGAATAAACGTGGCCAAGAAAGTGGACCACAGTAAATTGAATTACTGACCCTGATTCTTCACCCCTTCCTCTGTCCACACGGTGGGAGGATAGTTCTCCACCCCTTGTTTTTGAGCTACGACTTCCTCTAACTAATAGGATTTTAGCAGATATTATGCAAGCAGGGACCTTGAAATGTGCCTGTGTAGTTAGGCTTGTTCTCTGTGCTTCTGCCATCAACATGAGAAGAACATGCCCTGCTAAAGCCACTGCTCCCAGGAGGACACTTTGGTCCCAGGAGGAGGGTGAGAAATGTGGAACAGAGCCATTCCAGCTGACCCACAAACTTGGGAGCAAGAAATAAATGTTACTTGTTGTATTACACTGATTTTGTAGTTGTTTGCTTTGCAGCACTATTGTAGCAATAGCTGACCAATTCAGGGACCCAGACAGTTCTGGGACATGTAGCCCATCACCCATTTTCAGTCCATTCATGAGTGATTGGGGTCGGGGGAGATTGGTGATTGAAGGTTTATTTGAAGAAAATTGTTGACGTGCTATCTGATTCCCCAGGCCCACCTCCTGCTTAGAGAACTTTCCTTGGGCCTGATGATGTGGGGAATCTGATCCTTTACCTGAGACTCTTATAAGACTGTAACAGAGTGCCTGGGAGAGCCTGGCAGGGATACCCTGGTTTTGGAGGCCAAAGAAACTGGACCCCGACACCTGCTTTGGAGACTTCTAACGTGGAGAGGCTGGCAGGCTTAGCTGTGACAGGAGGCCTAGAAGGCAGGCTGTAGCAGACCAGCCTATACTTTCTGAGTTCTGCAAGGCACAGGCCTCATTTTCACATGGGTAAAGTGGGAGCTGAGGGAGACAGTAGGGCTGGAGTTGTCATCAGAGGAGTCTGCCCAAGATGCCTGCCTGGCAGGGCCAGGTTCCCTGGCAAAAAGAGGCTGAGTGCGGAGGAGGGCGACCACTGGTTGGAGAAGCTGAGGCAGAATAAGCAGCAGTGGCCTGGAGGGGGATTGCCCATGCTAGGAAAGAAGACACCACAAGGGCCCTGCAAGGTAGGAGAAACTCTGAAAGCACCACCTAAGAGAAAGAGCTAGCAAGTGGCATCTGTCACACAGATACTCTTGATGCCAGACAACATCTGTACTAGCGACCTTCCCCTCCCACTGGAGGAACCAGAAATGGCCACTGATGAACAAGGAACAGAGAAGGCACTCACCACCACGCCCAGCTCCCCACTGTGGGCTTCTGAGCCCAGTCAGGCCCTAGCTGCAGGTGCATGAGGTCTGAAGTAGATGAGACTGATGTTTTGAAATGAGACCAGACTCTCAATACCTGAAAATGAGACTGTTCCTTAAGGTCTAAAAATGCCTGGAAAAGCTCGGGGATCTGCCCAGATATCAGCCACGATTTGAAAGGCAATAGTGAAACAAAGTGGTTTCTTGCTCTGCCCCCTGCCTTTGCAGTTCATTCAGTCAATAAGCTGGTTTCTTGTGTATAGAATATCCATAAGATTCAGGCTCATTTATTTATATCAAACACCAATTGAGCGCTTGAAACATGTGGTTTTCCTACAATAATCCAACCTCAATGATTGTCAGGAGGCTCAGAGTCAAGTCTGAGAAACAGTAATAACAGCTACTACACTTGTCAGCTCCTACCATGTGCAAGGGCCCGCCTAAACCTCTCCAGGCACAGCCTTATTTCATCTCCCCCGAGAGCTCTCTGGGGTCTGGCTGATGCCTCAATTTCTACATGGGGAAACTGAGGCTCAGGGAGGAAAACTCTCTAGTCAGAGTGAGATCAAAGTTCTCTCTACTAAGCCAGAAATTGTGCTATGATCTTCCTGGGTCTTGATGGTCATGGCTTGCTCTGGGACACAGGGTCCCCTTTTTCTCTGATCGTGCCTGGGTTATTGGCAGAGAACTTAGAACAAGTATCAGAAAGGATAGGTTGTCCCTGACTGTGAATATGAGAGAAACCTGCAAACGCACCCCTTTGAGAAGGCTCAATGCAGATCCCATCCTCTATTCTGCAGGGGCCCACCCTCCCCACAGGTTTGCCTACCTGAACTAATCCAAACAGGTAAGTAGGGCTTCAGTAAGAGCCAGGGTCTAGAGAGTCAGGGGCAACCAAGTATCTCACAAGCTCCAGCCCTCACGACCCTCTCACCCCACCCCCAGTGTTGACATCTGCCTCTGTGACAGCTCCCCCCCACCCCCCGCCACTGCTGCCATTTGAGCTCCAGTTCATCAGTTGGTGGGAGGTTCAGCCCCAAGGCCTCCTGCTTTTGCTAGCCACCCCTCCAATCCTGGCTCACCAACCATGGATTCCTCCCCACCTCCGGTCCACCAGGAACGGTCCCAGGGGTCCCCCATCTTGGTACTCACTCGGAAGCGTGCGACTATTGCTGAGGCTGCCGGTGCTGGGAGGTGGGGAAAGGGACTGCAGGGAAACACTGTCCTCCTCCTGCGAGCAGCCTGCCTGGATGGCGCGCAGGTAGCTATGGCTGCGGGAGCGGAAGTAGCTGGGCAGCGGCAAGTCTAGAGCCTCCGCCGCGGTCGACTCTGCTTCACTGCAGGCCGACTCGCAGGCTGCCTCATACTGGTCGCTCAGATCTGCCTCCCGTACCTGTCAGGGCAAAAGCAGGCATCAGGGGCCGGCTGTGCCCACTGGGGAGGGATGGGGTGCTTGGTGGTCGGCTCAGCTGCAGAGCTGGAGTCTGTGGGGCCTCAACTCGGCCCACCCTCCTGCTCCCGTCTCACTCAGGACACGGGACGGGCAGATGGGGCCCTTAAGAAATATACACTCTCTCACCTCTTTGGGCCTCAATTTTCCCATCTCTACAATGGAGGAGAAACTAGTAAACATACTTTCTAGGATGTCAGCTAGGTTATATCTTGTGTGTCCAGACTGATTAACTAATAGATTTTTAGGTCATATCTGAATTCAGCCAGAAAGAAGGCTATAATCAGTAACGTCTGCCCTGGATGTTGGGATGGGCAGGCGGCAGTAGGTGTGCTAGATATTTACCATCTTATGGTCCAATTCCTTCATTTTTATAAACAAAGAAACTGAGGGCTACTGAGGGGAAGATACTTGCCAGTTGTACCCAGTGAGGAAGTGCCGAATCAGTACTCCAAATGTATATTTAAGGAAGATTAATCTAGCCCTGGTGTACAGAATGGATGTTGGATATAGGGTCTGGAATGGAGGCAGAGGCCAGAGATGAAGCTGATGCAATAGTCTGGTGAGAGAAAATAATACTGGAATGAGGGTAGTGGCAGTGAGGATTGATTAGTCACATCTGCCATGGACAGTATGGGGAATGGAGGTACATATGCTATTTGCCATCTCACATCTAGTTCAACCCCATCTGGATGGTTTCTAAGTGTCCCTCTAGAAACAAGATCCTACAAATCTGCAGCTGGGGGTGTGAGTGTAGAGGGGGCTCACCATACATACACTCTCCAATGGTTCTGGAAGGGTCTGTCTGACCCATGTCTCAGGCCATCTTGGTACCTGGGGATCACAGAGTATAAGCTGAGGAGTCAGCTGGCTAAAGATGGACACTGGGTGGGGGTCCGGGAAGACACCTGGGCTACACGGGAGGGGGCAAAAGTTGACTGAACACCATGTGGAGGAAAAGATGAAGCTGGATATGGGGCCACTGTGCCCTGGACCTGGCTGTGTGACCTCAGGCAGGCCAGTACTATTCTCTGGATCAGTGTTTCCCTATCTAAATGGACTAGAATGCCTGCAGACTCGTCTGGCACTGCATCAGGTAAAACGACTGGATGGATCATCACGCAATTATTTTTTCTGGCTGCACCGCGCGGCTTGTGGTATCTTGGTTCCCCGACCAGGGATTGAACCCGGGCCCTCGGCAGTGAGAGCACGGAGTCCTGAATGCTGGCCTGCCAGGGAATTCCTGATCATCACCCAATTTGGAGTATATGTTTGGAAAGGTCTTAATTTGCTCTGTTCAATATGGTAGCAACTAACCACGCGTGGCTATTTAGGTTTAAATTAATTAAAATAAACAAAATTCAGTTCCTTAGTCACACCAGCCACATTTCACTTGCTCATGTTACCTTATTGGACAGCATGGATTATAGAACACTTCCAATCATCACAGAAACTTCTATCAGACAGCACTGATAAATTAAAACGTAGTCCATGTGACATACCCAAAATTCACTTGGAGAGGGTATTAAAGAGATAGGTGTTTATCCTCCAAAGCTGCAACCTGAGGTATATTGAGAGGCCCCTGTGATTGCCAAAGGCGATGAGGTCCTGATTAGGGATTGCACGGTAATGGCCCACCTCTGGAGCTAGACTGCCAGAGTTTCATTCCCGGCTCCATCATTTTCTCACAAGAGGAATACGGGCAAGTCACTTAACTGTGCCTCAGTTTCCCCATCTGTAAAATGGGGGCTAATTAGAGACCAGATTTCACAGGATTGTGGTCAAGATGAAATGAGATCATTCATAATCACATGCTTCGAATAGAGTTGGGAAAACTAAGCACCTGATAACCTGTACCTGTTATTACAGGCAACTTTGTGGGGCAAGTGCAAAGATTTGTCAGTGTCGGTTAAGATGCTCCCAAGCTCCCAGGGAGAGGCCAGCTGGTTAGTGCTGTTGGTATGTATATCATTGAGGACGTACTATGCGCAGGGAACTGCCCTGGGGGTTTTATATGTGAATACATCACACCCTTATCATGAGGCTGTTGAAGGAAGGAAGAGGTCACCTGGCCCACTGTGGGCTCCCCAAAGACCCTCTGCAACAATGTGCCCAAGAAGAATTATGATATGAAGGTGGGAGGCACATGAGGCATTCGTGGCTGGAATCAGGAGATGTGGAGCCAGTCACAGTTCTGCCCTGTAGGCCGTGTGGCCTTGGATCAGTCCCTTGCCACTCCTGGCCACAATGAGGACTTGGGCCCAGAGCACCTTCCCTGCCTCTCTATCTGGCCTTGGGGCTGGGTCCTGGGAGGGAGGAGACGACCACCTCCAGGGGCAGGATGGGTGTGCGTGGGATGGGGCACCCTTAGGACAGGCAGACAGTGCCAGGACTGGCATCGTCTTCACCACCTTTGGTAACCTTGAAAAGTGTCTGCATTCATTCCAGAACCCTAACATCCTTAAAGGTCTTATTGGAACCCAAGAAAGGAGATAAGTCAGGGGATATTGTGGCTGGGATGTGAAGGCCAATGCCCCCAGCCCCTGATCTGTCCAAATGGAAAAGTCTCCCCAGGCCTTTCCCAGGCTTTGGGGGATGAGAGGAAGGAGGGAGCTAGAAGCTCTCAGGGTACACCTTCCTTTATCTTGGGGTTATTATTTTTAAAAAAACATTTTTTAAATTCAAGTATAGTTGATTTACAATGTTACGCCAATATCCTGGGGTTATTCTTGCCCCATCCATAGATCCTAGCCCATTCTTTTCCATTTTTGAGAAGAGGAAACTGAGGCACAGAGAAGTGAAGTGATAGGGCCAAAGAGTGGAAGGTCCAGGCACCAATGTGATTCCTGACACTATCTTCGCTGGAGGGGGCTTTTCTGGTGCTGGCTCTGCTTGCACCTGCCCGGCTCAGGGGCCAGGACCACTGAGGTGCCTGAGACGCAGCCCTGGCCTCTGGGATTGGGGGACAAGAGAATGGCAAACATACTGACCTGCTGCTCGTGGCCAAACAACTGGGGGATCAGGGAGGCCTGTCCAAACATCTGCAGGAAAGAGATGGGGGAGGGTTATGGGGAGACTGAGGCTGGGGGCTAGGGTTGGGTATTAAGGCCTGGCTGCAAGAGAACTTGTGGCTGGCTGGTCTAACCTCCTCCCCAGACTGGCTGAGGCCCAGTTGCTGGGAGGTCTTGGCTTCCTCCAGGGGTGGGAGGCTCACTCCTTCTGGGGCTGGGTGTTGTTGAAGACTTGTAATCTGCTGTTTATAAGTCTTTCTCCTGGGTTGGCTTCTGGGACCATGGATGTCCTGTCTGCTGCCTTTCACCTGGGCAGGCAGCTCCCAGGATGTACAGATTAGGGACAGAGCCCAGAGACTTCTCTTCCCTGGTCAGGGCTTACACAGTCCAGTGCCTGGTGGGAGCAGGGTTTCTTCTGGCAGGAGTTGAGGCCTCAGAGACACAGACAGAACTGGACATCTCTGACTTTGGGGTGACATATGTGGCTCAGGTCACTCAAGCTTCATGGGATGAGGGTGTGGGAGTTCAGAGGACCCTGGGATAGGGGAGAGCTGGGGCTGGGCAGGGGGTAGTGGGAGAGACCTGCTGGGGTCCCCAGCCTGGCTGATTCCATGTACCTTTTCGTGTAGCCAAAGGACAAAATTGTTCCAGGTGCCAGGGCCAGGCAGGGGATGGAGATGGTGGGTGTGAGAGAGACAGACAGACCCAGAGAGAAACATGGAAATGAGACACACTGGAGAGAATCAGAGAAAAATGTGAATGAGGGGAGAGAAAAACAGAGGGAGACAGACACAGACCGATAGGGAGACTGAGGGATGAGAGAACAGGCAGGATGGGAGAGACAGGGAGGGACGCCATCCATTCAGCAAACCTAGGTGCCCTGTGCCATGTGCTGGGGGCTCTGTGGGGACAAGAGAGCAAGGTCCCCGTCTGCAGGGAACTCCCAGTCTTAAGAGTGAGACAGACATCAACTAACAAGTATAATTCCAGATAGTGAGAAGTGCTGTCAAGAAAATTAAGAAGAGTAAGGAAACAGGGCCCCGGGGACCCCCTGAAGCAAGTGATAGGGAAGGTCCCTCTGAGGTGACATTTGAGCCAAGACCTGGGACACGGAGAACCAGCTGTGCAAAGATCTGAGAGAAGATGCTCCTGGGAGAGGCAGGAGCAAATGCAGGGAGCCTGGGGCAGGAATGAGGTGTGTGAGGGGAAAAAGGGGGCCAGAGTGGCTGGAGCAGAGTGAGTGACAGAGCAAGTCGGGGAGCACATCTGAGAGGGAGGCCGGGCTTCACAGGTCTGGCTTTCACTAGGGTGAGGCGGGAGCCATGGGAGGCTTCGGAACAGGTGACGTGATTTGACTTCTGTCTTTTACAAGCTCCCTCTGGCCGCTGAGAATAGATTGGGGGTGGCAGGCACAGAGTCCAGGACAATGGTACAGGTGAGACTTGGTGGGGCCTGGATGAGGATGGTGGGGCGGAGGGTCCCCTGGCCGGGGGTGGGGGGCTCTCCCTCTCCCCACATCTGAGGTCAGTCTCCTTGGAGCGTGGGAACGACAGTGCTGAGGATGGGGGCTGGGGCGGGCTTGGCAGGGCCAGGAATATGGGGTGGTAAGGAGCTGGAATCCGAAAGTTTTAAGCAGTCTGTTAGCCCAGGCTGTGGGGCTGCACACGGTGGGACCTGGGGCCTGTTCCTGCCCAGAGAGGTGGCTGGGTCTGCACCTGGCTGCCTCTACTGCCTCACTGTGCTACTGTTGGCAGATGTCTGCCCGCTCTGGGCCTCGTCTCCCCATCCACACCATGGGGGGGAGCCCTCAAGCCTTGACTGGTCGTCCCTTTGCAAACTGTAAAGTACTGTGCACAACACGGTAGGGGCTGAGGTCCAGGTCTGGGTCTGACAGCCCTAGATCTCTGCCCAGCTTTGCCTCTTCCTAGCTGTTGTGACCCCACCTATCTGGGCCTCAGTTTCCTCATCTATGAAATGGGGATATGGATGATAAGGCCCCCTCTGGGGGTGGCTGTGAGGGATCAAGGAGCTAGCTGATGGTTGAGAGAATTCATAGTACAGCACAGCGTGTTTACCGCTGTTAGTGGCAGAGCTGGTTGGGCCCTGGAAGTCCAGCTATCCACTGATCAGGTGGGACATGGAGGTCCAGAGTGGAGAAGCAACTTGCCCGAAGTCACACAGCAAGATGACAATGCTAACCATCAAGGGAGCCATCCTTTGCTGAGCACATTATGTTTGTTATCTCATTGATTCCTCACAACCCTTTGAAATAGGAGTTATCACCCTCCGATGGTAAATCAGGAAACTGAGGCTCAGGGAGGGGGCGTTTTGTCCTGGGTTCATACTGTCAGTGACAAGACTGGGACTCAAACCCAGGTCTCCAGTACCCTATCCTCAGGGCTCCTGGGTCTAAGGCAGTGGTATGGCCCCTTCCTCTGGGCCCACAGCTTAGGCCATCAATGTTAGGCCCTGTGAATGCTCTCCAGCCACAGGACAGTCAGTGGGGAAGAGACACACAGAGGCAGCTTCAGGAACAAAGACCGAACAGAAGCACAGGGCAGATATTCAGGGGCCACTCAACAGAGGCTGGGCCTGGACGTCTGTCCTTTTCCTGGGTGGGAGTTGGGGTTCTCCCAAGCCCACTGACCTTCTGGCTGCCTGCCACCCTTACCTGGCTGATGCAACTGGAGTCGTTGAGGCTGTCGCTGACAGGGTGGTAGTCCTCCTCCCAGCTCGGACACTTGGAGGGCAGCAGCATGTCCACTGAATCCAGGCGGTCCAGACTCCTGGTGGGGATGGGGAGCAGATGGGGCTCAGCCCACCCTTTGTTCAGCATGGGAAACTGAGGCCCAGAGGGGGAAAAACGGGCCAAGGTTATCCAGTGGCAGAGGGTAAAATGGAAGTCACTGCCATCCCGGGTAGTATGGGGGGTGATGAGCAAGGGGAGAGCTGCTCCCAGCTTTTGGAGGCCTTGTGAGTCTGGAGGGTGCTGATGGCCCTCACCTGTTATGTCCACTGCAACCGTGAGGTGGCAGCACAAGCTTGCTCTTGACTGTTTCAAACCAGGGGTGGGCCACACCAGCTCAATTCTACAGCCCCCTCCTCTGCAGGCCTGGGGCAATTCCAGGGGCTGGACAGAGGAGATGGGTCAAGGCCCACAGCCTTGACCTCCGGCCAGGGCTGCCCAGAGGTCATCAGTTTTGACACAATGTCCAGGTAGCCTCCACCAGGCCCCTGAAGACTCACCACTTCTCCCCATAGCCCTGGCTCTTCAATCTTTCTCACATCTACCTGACCCTGGGCCTCCCCCTCCCCAACTCCCCTGCTCTGGAAATAAGGTCCAAGCCGCCAATAGCTCAGGGCCTTGACACAGACAAACTTGGATTGGAATCCAGCTTCCTCACTGGGTGACCCTGGGCAAGTCGTCACCCCTTAAGTCTCAGTTTCCTCACCTATAAAGTGGGGGATGTCACTGTGCCTGCCTGCTGGGGCTGTAAGGAGGTTTCAGTGACGCAGATTCGAGGGCACTGGGGCAGGCATAGAGCCCAGAGCACAGCAAGGGCTAACAGATGGCCCGCATTACTGTTACTACAGGAATACTCCTTTTATTGCACTTCACTTTACTGCGTTCTGCAGATATTCTTTTTTTTGCTTTTCTCTTCTTTTCTTTTTAACAAATTGAAGGTTTGTGGCAACCCGGAGTTGTCAGGTGATGGTTAGCATTTTTCAGCAATAAAGCATTTTAAAATTAAGATATGTACTTTTTAAAAGACATAATGTTATTGCACACTTAGACTATAGTGTAAACATTACTTTTACTTGCACTGGAAAACAAAAACATTTCATGTGACTCACTTTATTGCCATGTCCACTTTATTGCGGTGGTCTGAGGTATGCCTGTACTACTATTATCAATTCCCTCTCATTCAAGGCCTGGGCCCTGGTCCTGCCCACCTCTCCCACCTCCACGCCCACAGGTCATTCAAGGAATTGCAGGATCTCAGGAGTAGAAGGGGTCATAGAGATCATCTAGCTCAGCCCCCTTCACTTAAAGCTAGGGAAACTGAGGCTCAGAGAGGGTGAGACCTAGGAATGGCTGGTGGTGTCCTGAATTCCCAACTGGAGGCCATTGCCTGCCTCTGTCCCAGCCAATGAGACTCCCTGCCTCAGTCTACCGCCACCTGCCCTGCTCCATTCCCTCTGCTGCAGTCCTCCCAGACTACCTCCTCCAATGAAGCTCTGGCTCTTGCCCCCAGGAGTAGAAGAACTAGGGCTAAGCTTATTTCCTTTAACTCTTCCAAGTCCTTTGTCTGTTTCTGACTTGCTTCTGCTTCTCTCCCTCAGCGGGTTCCGAATCACCTATACCGACTTTCACCTGTTTTGCACTCATCCTTTTCTGTTCTAATCCCCACGGTGACTTCCGCATGGGAAAGGCTCACTTCTCTCTCTCACGTGTTAATTGCCGCTTCCTGTGTGCACGTGTTTCATGTTCCACGCTGTCACTAACTCTTCCCAGTCTTAAAGCAACAGGATGGGGCCCCATCGGTGGAATGCCAGGCCGGGGGATGGGACAGGTGAAGGCTGTCTCTCTCCCTTTCACTTCTGGATCCTCCCTCATCCCCAATCTCGGAGCTCAACTCAGGGGTCAATTACAGGGGCACTGGCAGAGGGGTCTCTGGCCTTCCCTGGGCAGTGCTGGCACAAGGGGTGGGCTCACTAAGGGCAGGGTTCTCTAACCTGAAGAGGGTCTCCTGGAGCAGTTCCCCTGTAGGAGTGGAAATCATCTGGGGATGTAGCTCCTGTGGGCAGGGTTTACGTGGGCCAATCACTCCGGAGAGACTCCCCTTAGGATTTACCAAAGGATAAGGCTCACCTGTGGCCAGGACTTAACTGTGGGGGGCTTATGGGGTGGGTTCACCAAATGGCGGGGCTCTCCGGAGTCAACTCATCAAAGTGCAGGGGCCAACCTAAGGACGAAGATCTCAGGAAGGGGGCTAACCGGAAGGAGGGTTCACCTAGGGGTCCTGGATCATTGGGGGCGGGGCTTCACCTGGGTCTGAGGCTGGAGGGCAGGATTCATCTCTGGGGCTGGGATCTCCGGGCGGGCGGCTGAAGAGGAGGAAGGCGAGGTTCCCAGGGGTGGGACATACCTGTGAGGGGCTCACCTAGAGGGCAAAGCTTGCCTGTGAGCCAGGGCGGTACGAGCGTAAAGAGGCTTTCCCAGAGGAGCGCTCACAAGTGGGCGGGGTCCCAGTGGAGCAGCGTAAGCCTGCGGGCGTGGCTCGCTTTAAGGGAGTGGTCCCCTTAGGGAGCAGAACTCACAGGTGACCAGGGCTTCTGGTGCGGGGTTCCCAGGGGGCAGGACTCACTGGTGAGCGGAGGCTTCCTGGGGTGGGACTTGGACTTCGGAGAGGCTCTCCCACGGTGGGGCTTCTGGGGGCAGGGCTGGCCTGCGGGCGCAACTCTAGGGGGCGGGACTGTGCGCTCACCTGCGGGGATTGCTCTGCTCTCCCAGCGACTGCTGCGTGGCCCTCAGGTAGCTCTGGCGCCGCGCCGCCGTCTTGGGGGAGGGCTTGGGGCTGCCGCCGGACTCGTCACTGTCCTCGTCGCCCATGGCCTTGATGTAGCTGCCGCTGCGCATTCGCCGGCACGGGATGGGGCCCTCGCCTGTGGAGTCAGCCTCGCGCGGGGACAGCAGCGAGGTGGTCCATTCGCCGCCGCCTCCGGGCACCTGGGGTTGGGCGGACAGCCCTCAGCCAGGGTGGCTCGGGGGGCAGCGCACACCGCCAGCGCGCCGCCGGCCACCCAGCCTCGGGCTCATCACCTGGGGAGTGAGCTGCACGCTAGAAGCTCCCCCGCTGCCCACCTCGGGGAATTCGGCCTTCGGTGCTGGGTACTGCCACTAAAGGCACCCATCAGCAGGGCAGAGCCGGGGCTGGGAAGGATACCTAGGTTCCAGAGCCAGTTCTGCCGCAGCTTCACCATGTGGCCTTCTCCAGCCTCAGATCTCCGTGGATCTCAGGCTGAGTGTGCCCCAGCAAAACCGTCCAGACAGAATGATCACAATGGCAGCTACCCTTCTGAGCAACCCCTGTGTTCCCATTACTTCCCCTGCTATCTCAGTGGATGGCTTATGATCCCACTGCCCAGATAAGAACAGCAGGCTTGAGAGAGGTCCCTGGACCCTAGGATGGTGGGGGAGGATGAATCAGGGGACCCTAGCACATCAGTACGGAGGTGAGGTCTTTGGGGCCAAACAACATTCCTCATCCTACAGGTGGGTAAACTGAGGTACAGAGAGCACAGGGGCTTTGTGGGGTCTGGCAGCCATGTGGTGAGCTGGAAAAAGCGCTCAGTGTTCCCATCTGAACTCCAGGGACCCCATCTGTGGAAGGGGGCTGTGATAAGGGTAAAGTCACAGCTGTGAGGGCAGCCCTGGTCCTCAGTGGTTACAGTGGCAGAAACCACACTGAGAGGACCTCCCCTGCCCTTCTGAGGCCACGCTCTGCCAGCTGCTTCAGGGCAGCACACACTGTCTACACTCTTGTTCACTTGATACCCACCGATGTGTCCACACAGTGGATATTCACCTCTTTATGGAGTATGCTCATCTCAGCACTCACACGTACCTCAGCCTGAGCACAGGGTGAACACGCCGTGCCATGTACATGGACCTCAGAGAGCAAGCATACCCTTTCCCCACACACCCCTCTCCCCAAGGACACACCCCTCTCCCCAAGGATGCACCCCAGCCACTTCATCATGTGCCCACCCCTCAGTGAGTGCACAATGTGAACACAGAGCATACACACCTCCTCACGTGCACACCAGCCACCACTGCATCGTGGACACATCTCAACTTGTCCCTCCTCACCGTGTCCCCGCCTCAACACGTACAGAGCACACACCTTCGCTGGGCCTATATGTCACCGCGGACACCCAGGCACACGTGTTTCTCAGTTTACAGCACACCCATTCTTCGCCATGCCCACAAGTGCACACCACCCTCCCCAGGTCCCCATGCCTGCACAGAGACGACATTCTTCTCAGTCCCCACATTGCCAGTGGCTGATTCTTGGCTGAGGGAGGGTCCCTGCCTGGGATTCCCATCCCAGGTCCCCCCCCCCCACCTGCAGCTTTCCCCCTTTCCCACTAACACCCTCCTCCCCAACTGACTGCCCAGCCAGTCACCAGGACCTGCACATTCTACCCCAAACTGTTTGCTAGTCAATCCTTCCTACCTCCACCTGTCCCTTGGGAAGGTGGCTTTGTATATCCCTGCTCAACACCTGTTGCTTCCCCAGCCCTTACCCACCTACTTCCTGTTGAGCAAGCAGGCAGCACCACTCCAGGGCCTGCAGGGCCACCGTTTCACGGTGTTTCTGAAGCATTTTCACGTGATCAGACCAAACCATATCATTTGAGAGGGAGCTAAGTCACACACCACCCCCTCTGATGTTTCTAAGCTAAGGAAGTAGATTGAGAGCCACAAAAGCCTTGAATATATAAAATACTGCCTAGATTTCATTTCCCTCCTATTGGAAAAAATAGCCTCCTCCCCCCATAGTCTCACTGTCTTTGAAATTTTATATGGAATGACAAGAACTCAGGTCAGACTTTGATGTTCATCCGGTTCAAAATGCATCTAATGGGGCTTCCCTGGTGGTGCAGTGGTTGAGAGTCCGCCTGCCGATGCAGGGGACACGGGTTCGTGCCCCGGTCCGGGAAGATCCCACATGCCGCGGAGCGGCTGGGCCCGTGAGCCATGGCCGCTGGGCCTGCGCATCCGGAGCCTGTGTTCCGCAATGGGAGAGGCCACAACGGTGAGAGGCCCGCATACCTCACACACACACACACAAAATGCATCTAACATGTTCCCAAAGGCTGGCCAGGCCTGTGCTGACACGCCCTCCAGGATGAGGGACTCACTACCTACTGAAGCAGCCCCTTCCACCTGCAGGTGAACCGAAATCTACTTACTGTAACTTTCACCCACAGCTTGGGCTCTGGTCCCAGGAGCCACCCAGTTCTCAGCCACTCACCCTGCCCTTGAGAGACCCAGCACAAGTGTAGCAGCAGAGATGTCTCTGAGCCTTCTGCCACTTTCCAGGAGTGCAGCCTTGGTGCATAATAAGTGCCTCAATAAACATTAGTGTTTGAAAGAAAAAAGCTAGTCCCCCAAACTGAGATTTAGGGCCTCAGGGCTCCTGCAGTCCCCCTGATCATCTCCATCACATTCCGCTCATGCTGACAGGAATGTCTGCTCATGTGTCTTTCTCTCCCAGCATCCTGATAATCAGGACTATGTCTTATTTATTTCTCACTCTATTCATTCACGGGTCCATCTGTTCATCTACCCCTCTCTCCTCTCATGTTTCTTGAGCACTTCCTGTATGACAGACCCTGTCTTGGGCCCTGGGGACACAGAGCTGCACCAGACATGGTCCTTATCCTCAAGGAGCCCCCAGTCTGGGGGCAGTACCAGGCAGGAGGCTGGCAAGCAGAATGCCATGCAATTGGTCCTCGGAGGGGATAGAAGGCACAGCTTCCATATTTTTCTTCTAAAGGGAAGGGACATGTTTTGGTCCTTACTCAGGGCCAGTCTCAAAAGGGTCCTAATCAATGTCTGCTGAGAGCATGACCAGTGGAAGGAATCCTCTTACTAGCAAGATACCACCAGCCACCCATTTCCTAGGCGAGTCAACAGAGGCCTGAGTGAAACAACTTTCGAAGTCAATCTGTGACAGAGCTGGGCCTCAAACTGGTGCCTTCCCCACAATCCCTCACCCTACCCTGACCCTGGCAGGGACCCACCTGCAGGTAATGGTAGGCAAGACCTTGGTGGCAGGATTTGGACTTTAGCAGGCTCTTATCCAAGGTGGCTGAGGTCTTCTGGCAGACCTCATGGGCGTGGCTGAGGGTCAGGGTGGACCAGGAGCCCCGCTTGACATAGTTGGTGTCGGCGGCCACCCCAAGGCTGGGGCAGGTGGCCGGGGGTGCCGGCGGAGGTGGCGGGGCGGTCAGCTCGGTGGTGTTGTTCTTGGCGGCTCTGAGCACGTGCCCACTGATGGTGTTGTAGGCGTGCGTGTAGTAGCGTGGCTGGCTGCGTTCTGCCTGGCGGCCTAGTGTCATCAGTCCAGAGGCTGGGCCGCTGCTGCGGAAGGTGCCACCCTCACCATCCAAGTTGTCGTCGGAGCTCCACCAGCCCGAGATGTTGGAACGGCTGCGCCGCTTGGGCTCCCCAGCCTTGGCCCGCTCCTTGCTCTTGGCCCTCCGGCCCTTGCCGTCCTCCAGGCCACCTTTCTTGCCGCCATTGCCGCCGACCTTGCCAGCCGTGCCCTCCAGGGAGGGCGCCTTGGTGAAGAAGAGCCTCTGGACTGAGTGGACCAGGTGGCGGATGCGGCCAGGACTCTCGCCCCGGGCCTTGGCCTCCCCGCGGGGGAACTGGAGAGTGCTGAAGCCATCGCGGTGGATAGGCAGCTGTTTCTCAAACTGGTCCAGGAGGTTGGCGGGCAGCCGGTTGATCTTGGTGGCCTGGGCGTGGCTGGGGAAGGGGCTCTCCTCTGGCACCTCGAAGTGGGAGTTGTAGTGGATACGGGGGAAGGTGCTGCTCGGTGGTGGCAGCTGGTTGTTGAGCGGGAAAAGCCCGTCCCCTGGCAGAGCATTCTGCCCGGGGAAGCGAGCCTCGCGGGCAAAGGCCTCCGTGGGCGATAGCAGGTAGGGGTTGCGATCAGGCCCTGCGAACAGGGGCTCGTGTGGTGGGTCCAGGCTGTCGGACAGGTGGCGGGGGCGGCTGTCACCGAGGCCTTTCATGATCCCGGCCCTCGGGGCAGGGGCCGTTGCCCTAGCGCGTTGCCCGGGTCTCCTCTCCCGGGCAGCAGCTAATCTGGGGAGAGAAGACAGACAGGCGTCAGCTGGATTTGGAGGGGATAGGATGCTGGGAAGGTCAGTCAGACCCCCCGCAGATCTCAAGGTTGGAAGGATTTCTGAAGACTCCTGGCCTGCCCCTAACATTGTGGGTCGGGAATCACGAGTACAAATGGAGACCCACATACCATACGGATAAATAAAAGCGACATCTCAGGCTAGCAAGACTTTAAACAAAATATGTTCTACTCTCCTACCTTGACGAACATATTTTCACAATAACCTGGAAAGCAGGTTCGAACTCAGACTTCTTTGTCTCCTCCGAATTCCATGGCAGCATGTGGTCAGGGGGAAGTTGCCTGCCCTCCCTTTTCCTCCTGTCTCTGACTCTGTTCCTCACCATGAGGAGCCCCACCCATGTGTGCACCCCCAGCTCACTCCACATGCCCCCCAAACAGCCACCCCTCAGCCCTAGGGCTGGTCCCACTGGCAGTGTAGGCCACCATGGGAGGATCTGTGCTGGCCCTGGAAGCAGGCCTGGGGTCTTTGGGGCAGGGAATTCCAGGCTGGGGTCTGCCCAGGGTGCAGAGTGTGGTCGAAAGGGGGATGTAGGCTCTGGGTGGGCATGTTCCCTTGGCCCCTGAACATTCCTTGCCTTGTGGGGAACAATAAGGTTGAGAGAGGGCCAGAGAGGCCTTCTAAAGAGTGGGGCCTGGGGCCGGGGCCCCTCTTACCCAGGTCTGAGGGCAGTACTGTCCAACTCTATTTTAGCAGAAGAATCCTTACGTCAAAATGTAAACCCTCTGTAAAAACCCACTCTGTCCTCAACAAAAGTCTACTGAGTGTGGGCTAGAGGCTAGAGGGGCTGCAGCCATCAGACAGGCCAACAAGCCCATCAGCCCATCCTTTCCTACTGGGATGAATCAATGACACCTGGCCTGGGACAGAGATCCCAGCAAGTCAATAGCAGGAGCATATCCTCAGGATGGCGTGTAGGTGGAGCCATTGTGCCTCAGTTTCTCTATTGTAAAATGGGCCTTCCAGCCAGAACCATCCTGGAAATGCCAGTCTCAAACTTAGTCAAGTCCGTTTCCTTTCTGGGCCTCAGTCTTCCCATCTGTACCATGGGGCAGAGGGGGAGGTCAGAAAGCTTTCTTAGCCCTGGACCCCACTAGTCATGCTTGGAGGAGTCCCAAGGCTTGGTCTGGCCTGTGTGCCTGGTGTGCTGAGGATCTGCAAGGAGTTGGTACGGCTGGAACAGAACAAGTGAGGCCAAGGGCACTGGGGACAGAGGATATCTCAGAGGGGCTGGGCCAGAGTGGACGGGCTCTGGCTGAAGCCAGGTACAGGAAGCAGAATGATGGCTCCCAAGATGCCCAGGCCTAATCCTCAGAACCTGTGATTATGATACTTTACATGTTCAACGGGACATTGCAGATATGGTTAAGGATCTTGAGATGGGGAGATTTCCTGGATTATCTGGAGAGGCACAACCTAATCACATGGGTCCTTGTCAGAGGGAGGCATGAGGGTCAGAGTCAAAGAGGGAGATGTGATGACGGAAGCAGAGGTCAGAGTGATGTGGGGTCATGAGCCGAGGAATGCGGGCAGCCTTTAGAAGTTGCAAGAGGCAAGGAGTCAGATTCTCCTCTAGAGCCTCCAGAAGGAATGCAGCCCTGCGGCCCATTTTAGACTTCTGATCTCTAGAACTGTAAGATAATAAATCTGTGTGGTTTAAGCCACTAAGTTTGTGGTAATTTGTTACAGCAGCAATAAGAAACTCATACACCAAGCATAAGTTTAGGTGTCTGAGACACCCTCCCACCCCGCAGGGCAGCTCTTAAGGCAAAGCCCAGACCCCACCAAACACTGCATGAAAAACACTGGCCTAGGTGAAACCCCCATCTTATAGATGGGGAAACTGAGGCCCTCTGAGGGGAAGAACTTACCCAAGATCTCATAGTGGGTTCAGTAGCTGAGGCAGGGCTGAGACCCACAGCTCTTCCTATCCCTCTGCACAGCTGCCTTGCAACTGTCACCTGGAGCTTGCTGGCCCTAAGACCCTCAGGGATCTGAGAATTACTTCCTTGGACCTATAGCCAGTTTCATGACCAAATGTGCCCCAAGGCTTCCTAAGCCCTGAGACTCCTACAGAGTCCACTGGCTGGAATTCTCCCCCTTCTCTGCCAGAGCCTCTCCCTGCCCCTGGGAGCCGGATGGACCCCACTCCTGGAGTCCAGAGCATTTTAGCAATGGTCCTTGTAGCTGAACAGCCACATCAGAAGCATCTCTGCTTCCACCAGGCGACTTGTCAGAGCATTTATCCCCAGCCTGGACAGGGAGTCTGCCGACTCACATTTTTATCTTCATTACAACAGCCACACGTGGTGGGGGACCATTATCTCCATTTTACAGATGGGGGAACTGAGCCTGGGGGAAGCAGTGCTAGCCAAGGTGAAATAGGTAACTCAGGCTTCAGCCACCCCGTCAGTGTCCCAGACTGTCAAGTATCCTCCTCCACTCCAGCCCGCAGCAGCTCCCTCTGGGCAAACCTCTTCTTGAAGGCCATTTCAGGCAAATGCAAAACCACCCTCATATCCCTCCTGCTCCTGGCCTTTTCTTGGCCTCCTTGCATCCCCTCAGGGCTGCAGTGTCCCTGAACTCAGAGGCCAGCCTCCTTGGCTCTCCAGCTGGAGAACTGTGTGTGCAGCAATGTCCTTGATGCCCACTCAGGTAAGGCCAATGATACTGAAAACTCAGGAGAGTTTGCAAACACAGCCCTCTGGCTCGCTGGCTAGGCAGGGGCCTGACTCCCTAGAAATACCAGAGGTGCAGAGGGCTGGTCACCAGGAGCAGAAGATAGCTGCAGAGCCCTGCCCCAGAAGTGCACACAACACTTCTCCCCCCAGACCGGGGCACCTTCTCCAGCCCTCCCAGGGAGAAGCTGGCTTCAATTTCATATGCCAGGCACTCCCGACCCCAGGAATCCAGAGTTGCCCCAGGAGGACCATGGGAACCTGGGCCCTGAGCCTCAGACTATGCAGCTGCCAAGTGGGGCCAAAGGAGGAAGTGAGGGAGGGGGTAGGAAAGTGCTCGGTGAACTGTGAGGTGCTGGCATATCCTCATTCCCTGGGGGACAAACCCTGCCCTCAGTCCTGGTGGTCTTGATGATGAGGTCCCTTGCCTGGCTTGTGGGGGGAGGAGTTAGACAGGTCCCTGCCTTGGAGGTGCCTCTGGGATTAAAGGAGGGCGAGCGGGGGCTGCCAGCCTCAGGGAGACCTCTAGATACCAGCTAGAAACTTTAATGACCACAAGTGACCTCCGCTTTTCTTCCTGGGACTGGATCCTCATTGTAAAATAGTCTCTGACTTCTAGGGCCCTGCGTGTCTATCCTTCTACCCCACCTTAAATGCCGGTGCATCCCAGGGTTCTGAGAAGGCCTATAGTATCCCTCTATCAGTAAAATGCTTCAATGTCACCCAGTAGGGGCTCAAGCCAGACACCTTGGCACCTCCATGAATTCTTCCCTTTCCTGACCTTCCTTGTCTTTCCCCTCGTAACAGCTCCCACTGTGCCTGGAAAAATGATTTAGGTTCAGTTCCTGTGGTCCAGGTGGAGCCAGTCCTATGCCAGAGCCCCAGGGGTAGACATATGACCCAGGCCTGGCCAATCAGAGTCCTGCATCCCTGAGTACTGACTGGCTCAGAGATGGGAACAGGATCCTTGTTAGCCAATGAGAGTCGGCCCTGGGATTATGGCTGAACTCTTGGGAAAGAAGTGCCCTCCTTCCTGTTAGGGCTGCTATCTTTGTCTGAGTGTCAGCCTTGAGTCCTCTGTCAAGATCTTGCCTGATGTCTCCGACATGAGAGTTAAGAGACTTTTTGCTGAAGTCTGAGTTCGGTTTCTGTGTCTTCCAACAAGAGCCTGATACAGACCTCAAGTCCAATTGGTCACTACAGCAGTGGTTGTGGGTACCCCACCCATATCTCCTGTGGCCTCATCACTGCAGTGCCCAACAGGCTGACTTCCAACTGTCACCATCTGCTTCCCTGCCGGAGGGAGGGGGTGCTTTCTGTAGCAGCTGGAGTGTGCTCTGCTCACACGTGGCTGGCAGGAACTGCCAGAGAATTACCCACCCTACCCACCTGCCCCATGCCATCAGGCTGCAGCTCTCAGCCACTGACTGTTGGGGAGTTTGTGTATAAATACCCCAGGTCTTCCCCACTTGGGTGGGACAACTGAGGAATGGGCTCTACAGTCCTCAGTGGGATGGTGCTCCAGTTACGCACAGAGATCACTTGCCTGATAATGTTCCTTTCATTGGCCGCCTCCCTTCTCTGCCTTATCTCCCCCCTCCCACACTGTGCTGCCTGTTCCCAAATAAAGTACTTGCACTTGAATCTTTATCTTGGCCATGCTTCTGAGGAACCCCAACTATGACAGCCACAGCAATTCTGCCTCAGTTATATTTTCTGATGCCATCCCCTCTCTGTATCCTCTGCCTATGTCACTCCCGCCGCTTACCTGGAAAATCACAGCAGCCTTCTCCCTGGTCTCTCTGCATCCACACTAAGACCCTTACAATCCAGCTTGCAAACTGCAGCTGGAGTGATGCTTCTAAAATGCCAAAGCAATAGTGTTCTTCCCCTTCAGCGGCTTTCCATGGCTCTTGGGACGAACGCTCGACTCTGAGCCTGGCATTCAAGGCCACTGGGGAGCTAGTCTCCGCAGACCTCTAAACTTCAGCTCCAGTCACGTGGCCTACTGGAGCTAAAGGAACTGCGAGACAAAGAGTGTCATCCTGGGGAAGGGACAGCATGAGGCCTCACAGCAAGGTCGCTCCAGCCTGGAACCCAGGGCTCTTTACTCTTAACCCCACTGGCCCTCCTGAACTAGAGGGTGTGCGAAGGAAAGGGACCACGCTGTGGCTGCATTGCCAGCTGAGT